ATGAACTAGAGTGACAACACTGCTGTAAGAAAATTGTTTAGTGTATCAACACAGACACAGGAAGTTAGAGAAGTTGGACGCAATATTTTTACAGGCTTTTGGAATAAGTTACAAGGAAAGCCATTGAAGTGAATGGTCTCACTGGATTCAAAAATGCAACTAGATGTATTTCTGGAGAGAGTGAAGGGATTCAGGGATATGATAAGTAGGTGGGGTTGGGAATCACGAAAGGGATGGGCTGGTTGGACCCAACTTGCCATTTCCTGTTCATAAGACTTCCTCTGTTACTTGTACTGCAGCATCTTGGTCATATTTCAGTTTTTAGGAATTAAGTCAGCTTATACTATACCTAAGTCGGTCGAGCTGGAGCCGTGATTGAATCTAGCTTGGGTACATAGGGGCAACTGTATATGCTTGACGTAAAACAAACTGGATCCTATCCATCACTCTAGCTCTGTAGAGGAGCTTTACCCACCTATTTAACATAGGCACCCATGCCAGCATTTCAGAGCACTGGCAATTAAATGCCAGTTGTCATAACAGGTTGCTCACTCGCGCTTTCTCTTTCCACCCCTACACCTCATTCCCCCCTCATGGGCAGGTCCATGATCCTTAATGCAAGTCTGGACACTGCTCCCTGGGTTCTCTGGCTATATGTAGACGTGGAGGAATGAATCAACAGAAGTAATTGGGGATTTTGGGGCATCTCGGCATCTGTGCTGTATCTATAACACAAGTGAAGTGAGTATTCAGCATTTGAGTATTATGAATGATTCAGTTCCTGTTGGTGTGATCCTGCTAACAACAATTTGGTTAGGAGAGCTCAAGAAATGTTTTAGGATGTGGTAAGCCTAGTCATCTTTGAGGCATTTCAGAGGAAAGCCACATCAACTGTAAAAGTGAACTTTGCACTGCTGGACTCCAGCAGCAATAGGGATGCAACAGTATTTAACGGGAACTCTTCTTTTACTTGTTCCCAACATTTATTGGTGATACTTTAAAAGGCGAAGCTGCATACTGGTACAGTCCGATTTGTAGCAGCAGATGTGTGGTAGGGGGGACCCTTAGCATCACCATGCTTGACATTTCACTTTTTTTTAGAGAGCTGTTGGCTATCTATTTATGTAAAACTTGTGTCCCATACTTACAAAGAAGTAAATTCCAAACACTACTGAAACAGTAACCGATCCAGGCAGTGATTATTTAAGCATTTCACGATAGCATTACAACTATTAAGAGGAATGGGGTGAGCGGAAATGATTGTGCTTCCGCACATTGTAAACCTGCTTTTATACATTTTATTAAAAAAAACTCCCTACAAGAAAAGCCTTTAGTAAACATTGTTTTGTTTGCCAAACACTGATGCAATTTACAGAAATGCATAATTTGTGTTGTCCACATTCAGGCATCTTGGATGATAAATTCTGTACATTCACACCACTCCTCGTGCCTGTGCCAATTCTTTTCTGGCCCATCACAAAGACAATCCTTCTATGCAATGCTTAAAGGGCTCTTGCTTGTGTCTTCTTTTTGCACCATGCCACAGAGCTGGGGAACCTAAATTCATATACATCTTGAGGCAACATGACCACTGTGAAGTGCATTGGTCATCTGCAGGAGGTTGCTAGAGGTGGGTTATAAATAGAGTCTGCGTATATGTTATACTGTGTCTGACCGGACAAAATTATAACAGTATACAAAGTAGGTCAATAGGTGAACATCCCTTATACACCCTTCCAAACTGTTCTGAAGGCATTTACAATTTCAAGGGCAAGAAATAAAAAAATCCATTATTTTACTTTAATTTCACTGTAATCAGTTACAGGAGTATTTTTGAATGTTTTATCTTTGAAACTGAAGGACAAAAATAACAGCCAGTATGGGCACTAAAATACTGTTCTGTAACATTGGACCATCTGCCTTCCATTAACCCACCCATCGGGTTGATGGAAGATAGATGGTCCTCCCATTAGGCCAACCACCTGTCCATCAACCTATCTAGCGCTCCCATTTGGGCCATCTGCCTGTGACTTCAGGTGCTAGACCACGTTATACCCGGCACTACACCACTGGGTATAACATTATTTGATCTTTTGTTGATCGGCACTGCAAATTTTCATAACATTAGACTAATTATAACATTTTCCGGCTATAACAATACGTAAACTCAAATGTGTACAAAATATACCCAGCATCGCTGGTACCCACTGCCACGATAATATGTGGATTATAACAATAGGTTACTCAACATTGTGAGAACTTGACTGTATTCTGATTCTGGCTTTTTTGGGGTGGGAATATCTCTGACAGTGTGGAGTCCTGTAGTGTACAACAACAACTTGCATTTTTATAGCACCCTTAGCCAGACGGTGTCTCAGAGCGCTTAGCAGAGTGGTTAGAGCACTCGCCTCGCAAGCGAGAGGACCCAGATTCGATTCCCGGGAGTGGCAAAACCTTAGGCAAGTTTCCTTACTCCACACACACGTCTCTGTTTACCAAGCAGTAAGTAGGAACCTGGTCAGTCGATTGGCAAATCGCTTTCTGGGAGTAATACTCCCTCCAAAAAATAATAATAATAATTTGGTCAATTATCCACGACTCTTTGTCGGACACTGTTGTGTGCAATTGGCTTCCGTGTTTCTCCCACAAATTATACAGTCAATTCACTTTACAGTATATTCTGTGAAGCGCTTTGAGATGCCTCAACGATGTGATAAAGTGCTATATCAAATACAAGGATTATTATTATTTTACTTTGTCTTTGATCACCTGCTAATTCAAGTCACTATGTTACAACATATGGTGCAGAAATCACTGTATTTAAAGAAACTTCTGTGGAGCAAAGAGATATATCAGCATTCGCAGATCTGATCCTCTTTGCTTCAATACTCCCCTCTAGTGTTCAGCCCTCTTGATCTATTTATATAAATCAGTCAGGACCATTTCCTGGGGTGTCCCAACTTTTGCCTGATATACCTATATCAAGTATCCATTAGACTATCTGAGGACTTCTTCCAAGAGTTCAGAAAGTTTCTCTCAGCAGGTCCCACACTCGCATGGTGTCGAAAGCACCAGACTTGACCTGCAGCGCTAAAGTTGAGTCCATGGTTTTGGACTTGGCGTTACATGTATATCTTGGAATCGCAATTTGAACATAGCAAGCATTCTCTGGACGCAGTATATTGTGCACGCGCTGAGCATCCACGCTGCTTACATTCCTGATCTGCTCTTGGCCAAAAAGGGCATCATCTCGCTGAAAATCTTTGGCTTTATTTGCAAATAACAAAAAGCTGAAAATGGTGCACGGCGCTTCTCTCTCCCCACCTCCATGCTATGTCCATTCACACTGTCTTCCTTGAAAGATGAGTGGAATGAGTGCATGATAAATAATAAAATATTAATCCTTGCATTTGATATAGCGCTTTTCATGTCTTCGAGACATCTCGATGATAGAACAGATTGTACATGGTATGTGAAAGGAACTCAATCTTATAGGCTGGCGGCCTTTTCTGAATACAGTAACATGTTCAACCACTTTCATGAAAATGATGCATTTTAAGACCTGATTAGTCATTCAGAGATCCAGCTTTGCATACCAAAGGTAATGGGTGTGAAGGCATCCAAATATTTGCTCTTAACTGTAGGCAATGACTTGCATAGTAATCTGGATCTTTTATGAGAAGAGAAGGCTGTGGACATGGTGAAATATATGTCAGGTTCATTGCGCTTGACTTCATGTCATGCCCATTCACCCATGCTTTGTCATTGAGAGGGAACAGAGCTCAAAACGCATTGTGAGATCAGACTCGATGCACAGTCTAGCTTACAGCTGGACCATACTTTGATATAAGGTATTTTAAATACAGTGGGGGGGGTTAAAAAAAGGATTTGTGGACAAATTGTTTCTGCTTCTATCTTTTCCTTAGTGGATGTTGCCCTGGCAACTGTGTGCTCTTCTGCACTGTTCCCGATATTGCTGTTGTCTGTAGTGCCGACTGTTGAGAATCTGTCTTTTCCTCCTGTCACCAGTAATTAGTGATTTTTGCTTTTTGTGGAGGTTCTGAATTTACCAGAAATCAAACGTTGAGGTCTTCTTTCTACATGAAGTGATTAGAAGTATCCTAGCCAGTTAATACATTCAAGGTAAATCCTGGCAAACGTTTATCCTTTGAGGATTAAGGGAATAACTTTAGGTTGGTTGGATCTGCCTTATCTGCGTCAATGTATGTCTGCTATTTAAAAAAAATGAAATGTAGATTAAAAAATCTAAATAAAAATAATGATAATCCGTACATTTGACATAATGTCTTTCACGACAGGAGAATCAACCAAAGTGCTTCACAGGATTTACTGTGAAGTGTGGTGGCTGCGTATTTTGCAGGCGAATAAATTACAAATAGAGTTGTACTTCCACTTACTGGACCTCAGCAACTCACTCGCTTGCAGTTGTATCATAACCAAACGCATTTTGAAAAATCTGGGCTCGGCACACAGGTTGAGGAGATAGTTGATCACGGTGGGTTTGGATGACCAAGGCCCTTCCAGAATACCAGCCGTCCGTTACACTATCCAGCTGTTTCTTAAATGACTCCAGTGCTGATTTCAACTATTCTACCCTTTAACTTATTCCAGCTATTGGTTGATTGCACTCTCTTTCTATCTCTCTCTCTCTCTGTAGTATAGCTTGCCATTTGCTCCATTGATACTTTTAAGCTTATTGATGGGTTTTCTGCATGTGAGACACCCGACTGACCAAAATAAAATAGAATCGAAAGAGAAATAAGTTACTCATCATTGAGTATAATTCTATTTCCAATGAACTAACCAAAATCCTAACTATTTGATTTTAAAAAGTGTACCAGACAATTTTTTTCCATTTGCCTAGCTCTACCTTTATTTCTAAGCAAAGTTTATTAATTCCTGGTAATGCAGATCTGATAAACTGGAGAGGATTTTTATCTAATTTGTTAGTGATTATATTCTGGTTTCACTTATTACAGATGCCGCATAAGATAAACTAACTGTAGACCACCAGCAGCCTGATGCCCACAAATGTTGCAGTTCCTGAGCTTTCAAGTAAGTTTCATGCTTCCCCTTCTCGCCCCCTAACACTGTGAAGAGTCAAAAAAAAGCTTGCGATCGAAGCACTTTAATCACTTCTGCAACTATCAGTGAAACCTTCGTTGATCTACACAGCACTAATTCAGTCCGCATGGCCTATAATGCTGGCTATAGCTGGAGAAACAATATAAATTATCTTTTTTGGCGGTGTATTTCGAAAAGAGCATTGTGTAGTAATCGGGACAGTGAATAACTGAAATCTAACACTCACAAAACTGTGCAAACTCATTGCATTTAGTTGTTCCATTTTAAGAAGTGGCACGTTTCTAATTCATTTTGTCCCCAATATTTGGATTCACCTGGCCCCAATGCCTTTGCTTCTGTGTGTGTAAGAGAGGGTTTGTGCACATATCAAGTGCAAAAATTATTATTATTATTTGGTTTGCTCAGGCGTTGCCATGGTTCCCTATAGCTGGCCAGGAGAGGCAAACTACTGCAGAGTCATTCTTTCCTTACGTGTCCTCCACCCCACTTCCCCTGTGACACCCACAGGCTACGTGTGGCCCAACCCAGTTTAGCTCAGATTAGGATCTTGACCACTGTTGCGACAGTGAGACTATTACTGAGAAGTGGCTAAGTTTTTCATTCTCCAACAGATGACAAGCTCAATGGGTTGTGCCATACAACATAGATGGGGGCAAAGCATAATTTGCTCATAGTATTGTTGCATGGCTCTTACAGTTGGTCTTACTAATCCCTCTTCAGAATCGCTGTGGTGAAAGTCTTTATTAAACTTAATTTTGCAGGCTCTTCTTCTCAAAGCTACTTCCCTGGAGATCCTGGAATACACAGGTCAGGAATGTGTATCAGGGTCTTTTCTAAAGAGACTGAAAAGTTCCATTTGGCAAATAAAATTTTGCACTCATTCGGAAGCTGACTATTCTGTGTTCACCTTCTTCAGCTCTGTGAATGGTGACCTGCAAGCCATTTTAAGAGAAATTGTAAGCTTTTGCTCACTGTGCATGAGTTTGAATCTTCCAATGCTGTGATTGTATCATCAATATTCTGCCATATGAATGAAGATTTTTAAAATAAATTGTAAGCGACTAGAGCACGCCTGCTCAGTTTCTGGTTGAACATTTGGGATGTGGGTGGCTGAGCAGACTCTGGCAGATCATTTCCACCCACACCGACAATCCAATCCCCAGATTGCCTGTGGTGTCATGACAGATGTAGCAGCTTCCCTAGCTAGTCTTGCTCTGTCTGACGTGGCTGCAGGATGGAAGGAGGCAGGACGGTCTGGGTTAGGGGTATGAAAGATAATTGACTTATGATTTTTTTAATGGATTTTCTAGCAGGATGAGTAAATCGTGTTTGCATAGTCTAGGCTGACACTCCAGTGCAGTACTAGGAGAGCACTGCATAGTCAGAGTTTGTCCTTTTGGTGAGAAGCTAAACCTGGTCCTGTCTTCCTGTTCAAATGAACGTTAAAAAGATCCCATGACACTATTTGTATATTTCAACTGCAATTGAACAGGGCTCCAGCCTGCTTATGCTGGTATTTAAAACAATCTTGGCAGAAGCCTTTCTTTATTCAGCATGTTTTCCTAAAGCTTTCTTCAGCTGCACTTTTACTAATCTGAGTCAAATACATTTGCATCAGCTGATGGTTACTTGAATCAATGCAGTCACAAGGTCTCGGGTGTACATCAGTATCAGCCTGTGGATAATGATTTGATCTAGAGGAATGGTGCTTAGCAATTTGTCAATTTTTATAGCTTGCGTTCAGCATCTTAACTGATGCTTGCAATTGATGAGGCACTTAACTGAAGGGTGTAGTTTAATAAATCATAATTAGTACATTAATTTCAATCATTTATTAGTTCCCGAATGCTATGGCTCAAATGAGTATCTGATCTGGGAGGAGGTAACGTATTTGAGCCAAGGATGCTTATTTATGTTTTAACAACATCTGATAATTTCTATATAGTTAGCAAACAATTTGATTTGAATTCAAAGTCCCTCCTTTTGATGTTATAATTTGTTCACCGCTGGTGGTGAGATAATCGGAGAAGTTGCGTATGGGAATAACTTCAAACTTCACAAATAAGGTCAAGATCTGTTTCTGGGAAAAGAGGCTTGTTGCTTGTGAGTATTGGAAGCAGTACGCTGATGTTCTTTGACGTGGGGCACTTTGAATGTGCAGCATGATGATGTTTAGAGGCACACTTCGATCATGGTTTCTTTCAAAGCTGTCGCCTTTTAGCTTTTGAAATATGGATATCATTTTTTTTCCCTGGCTTTTGACTATTCTAGTAACCTGTATTTTTTTTTGACAGGGCTGACTGACGACCTGATGAAAAGCCTTACTCCTTGATGTCCATCAATTGCTCAGTAGTCAGTGTAGATCCTGTCTCCATTCAGCAGCTACATCTGGCTACTGGGTCTCTGATGCCATCACGCTTCCTCTTGATTTTCATCATTCCATGTCCAAGTGTGAATCTATATACTATGTGTGTGTGTGTGTGTGTATATATGTATATAAATATATATATATATAGTGCAGCCTAATGATTGTCATATATGTCATGTGTTTTCGGCTTGAAAGTTGGCACGCACAATACAACAACAACAGCAAGATTCCATTTATAGAGCGCCTTTCACGTCAGGAGGACGTCCCAAGGCGCTGCACAGTTGGGTCATGACCGAGCAGGGGGAAATGGTCAGGGTGAGGGGAGGGAAGGGAGGGAGAGAGGAGGGGGGAAATGGTCAGGGTGAGGGGAGGGAAGGGAGGGAGCGAGGAGGAGGAAGAGAGTCGAGAGGGGAGCTGAAGGCACGGTCAAAGAGAAGGCTAGTCTTCACCACAGTAGAATTGAGCATAACCACTTTCATTTTGATGACAACACTGGAACAGGCACACTGTTATTCTAGAACGAAAGACTTGTACCTATTACACAGTGATGGCTGCTGTGCTCAGTTTCCAGAGCTAGGACTGAGAAATTAAATGCCCTTTAGTTTCTGTAGCCAGTATTATGTTCCTTTTTTACCTCCAATGATGCACAGTATTTACGTGTAACACTAATCAAGTAAACTTGCTTTCTCCATAAACCTATTCATTTTGTTGTTGAGAGCAGCAGAGACTATGAGGTATGGCCTGTCCCTTTTGATTTCGTTGCTAAGTGCTAATTACTTTCCTGGCATGGACTGGGCTTAGCTGGCATTGGCCTACCTGCCACCAGTCAGCTAGTGGCCTTAGAAGTTTGATTATAAACCATGTCCTGTTTTACTGGTTACTACACTTGTATGTCTCAAAATGGTGCAATTATAACGGTTACTATTACTTCCTGGAGAAAATATATCGTTGATCACACTGAAGTTCCTTTTTCCCTTCCCTCGCCCCCTCCCCCAATATAATTTCCTCTTTGTTTTCCATCTAATTTCTGATCAGCTTTTCTCTGCCTTTTGATTTCGTTGAGCATATAATTACTTGCTGTTTAGGAGCCAGTGTTGCTAGGTACTTTCACACACTTACATCAACTGTAAATGTTCCTTGGTTCCAGTTGCACTGTAAGTTGCTGACCAAAACATTTCTGCAGTAGGAGTCTAGATCACTGGCATTTTGCTGTAGGCCACTGGAACACTTGCAAGGATCACTGACAGCACCTAGTGGCAGAAATCAAATTCTGCACCAATCCAGTTTAGACTTTTAATCCCAAAGTGAAGTGCTAGAGCTTGTATCACCCATACCCTTGCGTATGTATCAAACGCCCACTAACGGCAGCACACCATGATCTAGGCTCCTTCACAAAATAAACTTTCTTGCACGACAGTGTCTATCTCATCTGTTTTTCCGTGAATGTTCAAAGGCAACCATGGTTTCAGCAATGAACTTTCAGCATGATCCAAAGTAAATCCACTCTGCAAGTACTTAGTACTCATTTCGGGCAGATGAAGAAAGTAAAGTATTGAGAAATGACAGTTTCCCACCAATGCTGGAAAACCAATGTCATTAGTCTTAACTTTCACGATAGTTAGCACTTTTTTAATGAATTAGTTTCTGATAATCTTTAGATTTGGAATAATACCCATGTTAATTCTCAAAGCGTTACACAGAGCTTCTGTAAAGTGTTGCGACTCTTAAAAATCTAAAATCCCGGTACAGGAATATGGGTATTTGAAAACCAGCAGAAGTTTATCTGATGGATGTTAATGATTACAGATGAGAGGCTATGCACCGAAGGGAGGGAGATGATGTGGGAAAATCCTTCTCTAATTTTATTGAAAACCCCCTGAAGATGACAGACAATTTTTCCCAGGCTTGGCCTGAACCTGGCATACAATGTAGAATTCTGTGTTAGTACCAACAGCTACATTGTCTGCTGGGTTTCAGACTACCTGGAACAGCAGAGAATCACTAATTGTCTGGACACGGCAACAGGACTGGCTGAAACAAATGATGACTTCTTAAGGTAAGTCAAGAATGTGTTTCGACATCACAGCAGAGTAGATGTAGCGCATCCGTTCCAAGCTAATTTGCCTAATTTTTACTATTTAGTTGATTCCATTAAAAGGGAATCTCAAGTCATGCAAATGGAGGCTCCTCTCCGAAATCAGAAGAGCATCACTCTCGACTCGCCAGATCCCAGCTACAATGGTGTCCGCTTCCAGAGCGGGATTGCCACAGTTTGGCCAGAATCTTAAAACAAATGTAAATTCTGTTAGGCACTCCCATGATGTTACACTGTGTGAAGTACACTATACAAATGCAAGTTGTTGTAAATTACGCCCCGCCACCCCCCATCTCCGTAGTTCTGGGATTGAGTTCAAGGGCTGCTCACTCCCCTCTCTAGCTGGAATGAGTTTCTGATGCTTGGCTAAGCTGCTATGTGTGTAAGGCTTTGGGTGCAACATTGCAACTCAAAAGAGAATTAATTCTGTGTTGGGAACCTGTCGTGTGGTAATGGTGGGCAGTGATGGGAATTGGAAATTTGAGGTTACTGTGGAAACTGTTGCTTGTAAATGTTGCAATCCAGTTTGCAAAGAAGCTAATAAAGAACATCAAAAAAAACTTTGCCGCATTTGCTTATTTGTATTTCTAACCATCCAGTGTTTTTGAACATGTTCTGAGATTGAATTCTGATTGAAGTTCAGAACCTCAAGTGTAATCTACAATCATAATACTGGGTACCCGTTGTGTCCGAAGGTGGCCTCCTCACACAATGTGACCACCTGGAGCGTGTATATGTGTTATATTAAAGAAATTGCTGCCCAAACAGCAACCATGCGCTTTGGTAGCAAGCAGTGTAACGTGGTGTCAAGGAATATGCGAGAAAATCATACCACTTGCTAACTGCACCAACAAAAACCCTTGCACAAAAATACAAAATTACATTTGTATAGCGCCTTTCACATCGGGAGGACATCCCAAGGTGGTGGACCATTAGGGATTTGGACCCGAGCAGAGGGGTTTGTAGGGTGGGAGTGTGGCCAAAGGCGCGGTTCAAGAGGAGGGTCTTGAGACATGCCTTGAAGGAGGCAAGGGAGGGAGTGAGGTGAAGGGAACGTTTGATGGAGTTCCAGAGGCTGGGGGCAGAGAGGCTGAAGGCCTGACCACCAATGGTGGAGTGGGTCAGAGCCTGCTGAGCAGAGGGAGCAGGTTAATATGGGGTTAGTAGGTCACAGAACTGGGAAGAGGCAAGGACATGGAGAGCTTTGCAGGCAAGGAAAGCACCTTCAAGCGATTCCTCACCTTCAGTACCCCCGGAAAGCAATAATAATAATAATCCTTGATTTGATATAGCGCTTTTCACGTCGGGAGGACATCCCAAAGCGCTTCACAGAACACACTGTAAAGTGAATTGACTGTATATTTGTGGGCGAACGCGGCAGCCAATTGCGCACAGCAATGTCCCACAAACAATCCGCCAATCTTTCAACAACTGGGTGCCTACTTACCGCTAGGTTAAACAGAGGCATTTGGAGTAAGGAAACTTACCTAACGTTTCGCCCTGCTCGGGTATCAAACCCAGGTCCCCTCACTTGCAATAAGTAAGCGCTAACCACTACTCTACAGGACTCTTCTATCAAGAATAACTACTTCCTGGTCACTGAATGGTATTTTTTCGTAAATGAACATGTCTAACGGGCCTTCCGGGTTGATTATATGCTGGGATCACAACATTAAAATTATTTATTTAAAATAAATCATTGTTATTAAAACCTATCCTGTTGTATACCTCGAATTCTAATCCCTCACCATCCTTCTGCTTCAAATTATCATCCCTGCCACCGGGAGTGAGCAATAACTGCAACTTGTGCAGGCGTGATATAACTTACACATGCACAATATAAACAAGCAGGTGTATACCTCCTAGGCTATCCATTGTACATTTTATCACTATTAAACAGCTGGTTGTGCGATGTTAAAACAAATGCCTAAGGCATGCAGGATGCCAAAATCGGACATTTCATTTGTTTCCACCCCTATTTAAAGTGATTGTCTATATTACCTGGGTTCTTGAATCACATTGACTTCCTGCAGTACCACTACAGGGTAAGTAAGACTGGGTGTAAAATCTGGATGGACCTGAGTAGGTGCAAATTATTAACTGCAAATAATAATAATCCTTGCATTTGATACAGCACCTTATCATGACTTCGAGACGTTCAAAGCGTTCCACAGAATATACTGTAAAGTGAATTGACTATATTTTGTGGGAGAAACGCGGCAGCCAATTGCACACAGCAGTGTCCCACAAACAGTCGTGGTTTGAGTAACCAAATTATTATTAGTTTTGAAGGGATTGTTACTCTCGGAAAAGCAATCCGCCAATCTCTAACAACCGGGTTCCTACTTACTGCTAGCTAAACAGAGATGTGGAGTAAGGAAACTTGACCAATGTTTTGCCCTTCCCAGGAATCAAACCCAGGTCTCCTGCTTGCGAGACGAATGTTCTAATCATTAAGCTATAGGACTCCTGCTCTATGAGTAAGTAATTATAACTGTGCCTATCAATGTTCATTACCTCCCTTGCAATGTCTGAATCCCGTGCTGGCATCATCAGTAGTAACTGCTTAATACAATTTCTTTAATACAATATTAAAGTTACTCATATTTCTTTTTAGAACAATGGTGATTTGTAAAAGAATTTCCAAACAATGAATCCTGTATGTTCAAATGAGTCTCGAGCCAACTCACTAAAACCCCCACTCCAAGCCGTGCTCCGAATTTCTTGAAGTTACAATTATAGCCAAAGGAGGAACCTAGCTGGAAATGGTGTCATCGAGGACTTCTTGCATGAGTCACACCACTATGTGTAGGATTCAATATTCCCTCCCTCAGCAGGCGCTAGCCTTACCTGCCCACCATAGCAATCGGGCTCTCATCT